CTCAATTTCCATTACTCATAAAGATTGGCTGATATCTCTAAACTGTTTCTCTATATTTAAATAACGACCTTCAGATAGACTACCCAGATCATAAACAACGATAACAATACAAGTTGAATCAACGAGAATTATTCCTCAATATAAAGGGATAATTGCGACATTTTCTAAGGGTTGATTTGGGTCTTGAATATATGTAAATAGTCTTCAGATGTACTAGGAATGTACGATAATCGTGTAATTCCTTTAAAAATATCTCATACTATACTCACTTTCTATAGATGTCTTTTCTATATATCACAGAGTATCTTAAATTGACAAGTCATCATTTTAACATTCAGATGGGATCATTCTGGACACACACAAATTTGAAGGCTCAAATTTTTACAGTGAGCTGTGAACACTATTACTGATTGTTACATAGTCTAACAAAAAATTGTTACGCGATTTTCATATATTTCTAGTACTTCTGAAGACTACATATATTCAAGACTAAAATCAACTCCCCTAAAATGGCAAATCTGTAAATTAAGTTGTGTTATTTAATCAGATTTTATTTAAGTTAAAGGGACAGATAGGCATATATAGAAATAGTGAGTAAAATTCCTACTTTGAAGTATTTTTAAAGGAATAATTTGATTTTCGTACATTTGTAGTATTTCTGAAGATTATTTACATATATTCAAGACTAAAATCAAACCCCCAAAATGGCACACCTGTCCCTTTAATTTTTGAAAAAAAGGCCCCTGGTTTATGATAAATGATCATAAACATGGATTATACAGTCATGCTGGTGGTCTAATTGCCTACAATTAATAACAATAAATATTAAATCATTACTTGGTCAATATATTACGAGTATGATTCATGAAGACTTGTCATACATTAATTATCATTTCTACATACCCTATTAGTGGTTAGGGGGTAAAAGGTAACAAGTTACTACTCAACCAAAAGCACTGGCACAGGCTCAACTGAAAGCACTGGCACAGGGTTAAATCTGTCTGTTTTCTTGAAAATAAAGGTTTCGTCATTGTAAGATACTCTGTGATTTATAGAAAAGACATCTATAGAAATAGAAAGTGAAATACCTAGTTTGAGTTATTTTTGAAAGAATTATGTGATTTTCTTACATTTCTAGTACTTCTGAAGACTATTTACATATTTTCCAGGCTCAAATCAACACCTGAAAATTGAATACCTGTCCCTTTAAAATGTGAAACTGTGGTATGGTTTTTAAGTACCACACAAAATAACTGATGACATTTAAATTTGACTGTGTCATGATTAAAATAGGTAACCTACCGGTACATTCTGGTCAAATAGTTGGTCAATTAAAATGTTATGGCGTTTGCCATTTTTGAGGCTTGATTTGAGTCCTGAATATATGTAAGCAATCTTCATGTGTACAAAATCACATTCTTTCAAAAATATCTTAAACTAAGAATTTTACTCACTATTTCTATATATGTTTTTGGCAGAGTCACAAGAAAAGACAGTCCCCATTTTAACTTTCAAATACAAATTTTGACGGTAAGCTGTGAACATTGTTACTAATTCTCAAGGTAAGATTGGTTAAACAGATGGCGATATATTCAACCAAGATGGATAAAAGAACCAAGAAAATAAATCCATGATGATGCTCATTCAGTATGATGCTCATAAAAGAAACATGTAATGGTGGTTTCAGTTTCCGAACTCTTTTTTTCTAAAGTAGAAAATAGGCAACAACTAATGACACATGCAATTTTCAGTCAGTGCACTCAAGTCAGCAGAATTCAATAATCAATCAATTTTTCTTAATACTAACAATTCCAGGCAGTCTTTGAAAACGCAGTGTGCAATGAGAGAATATTTTGCCTGCTCTTTTTCAACTTCCAACTGTTGAGGGATCTTTAACGTGCACAGTCTGTAGAACACAGGGCCTCGGTTTATTGTCCCATCCATGTCAACCCCTCTTACCTACATCACTGACAGGGGGAAACAGGGTTGAAAAATCGGAAGGTATCATCTCAACCTATGGTGGGATTGAACCCTAAACCTTCAGGTTAGTGAGAAAGCGTCTATCTCACTGACCCACCGCGGCTCCCTACGAAACATTAGAAGCAGATAATGAAGTTTTCACATGAGGAATTATATTAATCATAAGAAAGTAAGTATTTCATAATGAAAAGTGGTATCAGGTGTCTAGAAGAGTAAGCAGCAAACCTGTCATAGCTGCAGAGTCACTGTCAACTTAAACCATTTTATGATGCCACCATTTTGAATAGATTCAAACTCAATGACATGCACTTACAGTTTGATATGTCAATGTAATTATACAATTACTTTTATCATTAATTATCAAATTCATGGTTGAAATATTATTCTAGTCATAAAAATTAATGATTCATATGTCAACTTGAAGTGTATATTAGGTTTGGTCTTCAACAATTTTATGTCAAGTCAATAAACCTATGTCAAATTTTCCAAAAATCACATCACATAAAACATATTACATCACATTATATCATGTCATCATATAACAAGAATAAATCACATCACATAACATAAAGACATCACATCATATCATGTCATCAAATAACATAACACATATTACATCACATCATATCATGTCATCAAATAAAAAATCACATCACATAACACATGTTACATCACATTATGTTTACACTTCCTTATAATATCAAATGGTAACATGTCTACCATCACACAATAATAATATATCACGCATTTTTATCATTTCTGGAATTCCATCACATCATTTTCACAAAAACATACCTTTACAATCAAATTAGCTCACATTACCAATCACATTACATAAAAATGACAATCACATCACACAACAATATCAATTGTATCATAATCACATCACATAGATACAAAATCATATCACATATTCATTTAGAATGAAAATCATATCACATATGAAAATCACATCACATAATTTACTGATATAGAATGAAAATCACAGCGCATAGATAGAAAATCACATAACATAGACAAATAAACACATCAAATAAATAAAAAGAGAATCCAAATCACATCACATGGATAGAAAATCACATCACATAGATAGAAAATCACATCACATAGACAAATAATCACATCATATAGATAGAAAATCACATCACATAGACAAATAAATGCATCAAATAACTATAAAGAGAATCCAAATCACATCACAAACATAGAAAATCACATCACATAGATAGAAAATCACATCACATAGACAAATAATCACATCATATAGATAGAAAATCACATCACATAGACAAATAAATGCATCAAATAACTAAAAAGAGAATCCAAATCACATCACAAACATAGAAAATCACATCACATAGATAGAAAATCACATCACATAGACAAATAAACACATCAAATAACTATAAAGCATTCAAATCACTTCATATAGATAAAAAAAAAAAGAAAAAATCACATAAATAGAAACTCACATCACACATTGATTTAGAATGAAAATATATTTCCAATCACATTCCACAACACCTTATATCGTATCAATATTTTATGAAGTGATGTCTGTATCATTATTAAAGATAGGTTCCCTGATTTTTATTTATTTTTTATAGTAATACTTATATCAATGGAAAGTAGCAGATGTTCTAATGATTGAGAAAATATTAGTTTGTTTTAAAAGCACTAATTAGCTCTTAATTAGCTAATTATAAGGGGAATGCAGACAAATTTTCTGACCGGTGACCACAACAGAATGATCAATTTGTCTTTATTTTCTATTATCAAGTCTGTACAGCAATGGATATTTAGGACTGGTTAAAACTCTTAATTATATGCAAAAGCTACTTTGGTATTCCATTTATTATCTCTAGCAACAGAAAAGATTATTTTTCAAAAATATAATGAATAAATTTGAATTATGAAGCTTCCATATCCCCTTTCAAATAGATTTGGCCCATAATATTAAGAAATTTGAATATGACAGATAAATTATTCTCTTTTAGCATAAAAAATTGATTGCCAGCTCTGCACTAAATTATGTAAGCTTACACCTAATCATTTATGCCAATTCAAATTATAAGCAAAGTATCATTTAGCATGACACTATGACATGACTGATTGCAGCATGACACTATGACATGACCATTTAGCATGACTACACAACATGACCATTTAGCATGGCTACATATGACCATTTAGCATGACCTTATGACATGACCATTTAGCATGACTACACGACATGACCATTTAGCATGAAACTATGACATGACAATTTAGCATGACATTATGACATGACCATTTAGCATGACATTATGACATGACCATTTAGCATGTCACTATGACTTGACCATTTCACATGTCACTATGACTTGACCATTAGCATGAAACTATAACTTGACCATTTAGCATGACTACACAACATGACCATTTAGCATGAAACTATGACATGACCATTTAGCATGAAACTATGACATGACCATTTAACATGACTACACAACATGCCCATTTGGCATGATCCTATCATATGACCATTTGGCATGAAACTATGACATGATCATTTGGCATGACACTATAACATGACCATTAAACTTATATAACAATGTGTAATAGTGATGCTATGGCATGACCATTTAGCGTAATAATGATGCTAGAGTAACAGTGATGTTAAGTAATAAGTGTCAGAGTGGTGCCAGCGTAATAGTGGTGATATGGCATGATCAGTTAGCAGAATAATGATGCTAGCATAATAGTGATGTGGGAGTGTTCCCATAGGACTTGCAATAGAGATATTATCGCATGACCATTCAATATCAGCGATAATATCACTTGCCCATTTAGCATGGTGCTATGACTTAAAATAGTAAGCACATTGCTATAACATGACCATTTACCACAAAGTTCCACAATACATGACCATACGGTATTAGTGATGCTATAACATGACCGTCTAATATGAAGTTATACATGACCCTTAGATAACAGTGATGCTGTAATATGACCATCTAATATGAATTTATACTTGACCATTAGATATCAGTGTTGCTATAACATGCCCCATTAGATATCAGTGTTGCTATAACATGCCCATTAGATATCAGTGTGGCTATAACATGACCATTAGATATCAGTTTTGCTATAACATGCCCATTAGATATCAGTGTTGCTATAATATGCCCATTAGATATCAGTGTTGCTATAACATGACCATTAGATATCAGTGTTGCTATAACATGACCTTCTAATATGAAATTATACATGACCATTAGATATCAGTGTTGCTATAACATGACCATTAGATATCAGTGTGGCTATAACATGACCATTAGATATCAGTGTTGCTATAATATGCCCATTAGATATCAGTGTTGCTATAATATGCCCATTAGATATGTGTTGCTATAACATGACCATTAGATATCAGTGTTGCTCTAACATGACCATTAGATATCAGTGTTGCTATAACATGACCATTAGATATCAGTGTTGCTATAACTTGACTAGTGGATATCAGTTGTTTTAAGATCCCTAGTATCATATCAATATGCTTATATGCAGTTTTATATATCAATGTAATACAAGGTGTTCAGGACCATCTGTGATCTGAAAGTGTTTTAACAAACCAAAACATGGGTCTATTTAAGCCTCTGATAGCTATTTTGAAAGTTGTCGGCTGGAGTAGAGACAGAAAAACTAGGCCCTGTTTTATGGGATTTTTTTTGGCACCTCCAAAGGTGCGAAGTTTTTAAACCTATTTATCTAAATCGGATCATTCAAACCCAAATATATTTGGAAAGATGAATATTTTTGCAGTTCAGTCATAGCATCATTTTCCCCTAACACCAATTATGTCACCTCTGCATTTCCGTCAAAGATTTTTGTACCGAAACTGATCTCTCATAGGCCATTTAAAACTGTGTACACAGCCAACATGGTATTAGCGAAAGTTATGGTGATGCCCAACACTAATTTCCAGTCATCGTAAAGTTACAGTAATTTAATATTATGTTAAAAAAAATTTTATCTTTGGAGGTGTAGAAAATCCCCACAAAACAGGGCCTAGTTTTTCTGACTCTTCTCCTGCTGACAACTATCAAAATATCTATTACAAACTGGAATAAAGGTAGATGTTTCAGACTAATGTATATCCAGTGTAATCATAACACCAACATTTAAAATCCCCATAAAACAGTGCCTAGTTACTACTCTACTCCAGCAAATATCTATCAGATGTTTGATTAGAGGCAGATGTTTTGGACTTGTCTTAAGTGTGAAATTAATCCTGAGAACAACAATGTTAGCCTACAACTGTCATTTGATTTGTAAGCTGCTAAAATGTAGGCCTTCTGTTCAAAAAAAAATTTTGCTAAGTAAAATAAAACAAAGAACACTTTTTAGACAAAAACCTCACAAAACCATGAAAAACACTTTTTAGTCTTCTTTACCAATATTGGAATTTTCAGGAATAAATGGCAATATTTTTTTTTCTCATATGATTAATTATTTTATACTAATTATCATAAATGAAGCAAACAGATTTTTGTTATCAAAACATTCAAATGAAAAAATCAGCAATATATTTCAACTCAATAACGAATTTTCTCATGTTTTGAGCAAAATTCAGTCAGAAATTTCGTCCGAAAGAATTCGGGGACAATTTTGGTATTGCTGTATATATACACTCACCTATTATTCCTAAAGGGAAAGCATCCGATATGTCATTTCTATATCCATTTGTTTTGGTGACTGACACAACAGCTAGCACTGCCCAAATTAACAGCATAGAAGATAAAACCCTCATTGTTCAATACATATCCCCGTACCGATGGTGAACGGTTCAAAAATTTAGTAAAATCCGTTTAAAACGTTAAAAACATGTCTGATCCAAGCGAAATTCAGTACTCCATTTCCCAATATGGCAGGATAATCATAAATATTCATGAGTTAATGTGATGTCACGTGTGACGTATCTTCATTGATTTCATTATCGATCCATGCCTTCAGGCCGGTATGGGTCCATATCTAGAAAATTCTACACAAAATTTTAATTTAGCGTCGTGATTAAATAATTTTCACACAAATTTGGATTTATGATGTACTCAAGAAGTTTCTAATAATGTTTCAACATTGTTTTTCGAATATTTACATCAAAAATAACCCCCACCGCCTGTAGAGCGTTTTCCATTATCGTGATAACCCATACCGTTGATAACCGTAAATCAATGGTCGTATTAATAAAATATAATATTGGCCCGACTCCCCCGAATGTTTACCGAGATAAAAACAAGGATTAGAATGATAAGTCACAATCTTCCTTTATTTATTTATTCATTCATTCCTTTCATTTCACATGCGTTAGTTTTCTCTTTCATGGTTGGTTAGGAGTTTTTTTTCCAAACATGTGGGCAGGCCCAAACGTGACACGACGCAGTTAAGATCGTATCATAGAATTCACAAAGATTTGGAGTATTTCAAGCAGACGACGGAAAATATAAAGGCTCGGGTACACAAACGGTCTTGGTCGGAGACTTTTGTCTTGAGTTTTAACGACTGGCACAGACACACGAGGAGACAAGTAGGCTAAGTCTCCAGTCAGTGTTTTCCACCTTGTCGATAATCACGTGCGGAGCATGCAATCGAAAGGAAAATGAATCTGATTTGATCATGACGGTCTGTCTTGCAGACGATAAAACTATCGGGAACAAGTATCAAACTTGTTTGATATTATATAAATCCTGTCCGCAAAGTGATAATCTTGTAGTCGAAGCACGGGCACACGTGAGACTTTTCTCATCTAAACGGCGACAAAAATCTCCGATAAAGACCGCTCGTGTGCCCGCACTTTTATACGATGTTTATCCTTAAGTGGGCCCGACGACAGTTATGCCAATACAACTGAATCTATTCCAGCCTTTGAAAGATATTTGGAAAGTTGCCGACAGCCGAATACTGTCAAAATATCTTTCAGAGGCTGGAATAGAGGCCCACTTTTAGTTAGAGTTAGAGTGTTCTTTGGTTTGGTTCCTGCAATTCCACTCAACTAAGTTGATGACGTCACTATACCCTTATGAAAGTCGCAAAAAATGCATCAGGCCCTTCGTCATTAGTAACTTATTCTTCGTTGACTTCCAGGAACCACAGATGTCTGATTGAAAATTGGAATGATGTAAATTGATGCTATCAGTTTCCCCGATACACATAAAAAAATAATAACAATCCCTGTAAGACAGACCCCTTTCTATAACTCTCTGAAACAATTGCATTATGTGTTTGAAACAATTTTTTGTATTATTTGTAAGCATTGTATAATTTAATTTTCTTTGCACACGGCGAAGTACATGTATAGTACCATAATTGATGTTTTCTTCTTACGACCTTGGCCAGTGCCTCTATAGGAGTGTATCATTTATAACACCCAACACAAACTGGGAAACAAACCAAATATCGCTAATTAGTTGTTTTTCGCACAAGATGAACTCCGTCAACAGACACACACAATACAGCTATACACAATCTTATTATTATAATATTTTATTAACGGACACGATAAGTAAAAAATCAATATTAAAGGAGGTATATCTAATCCTACAAAGTGTTCCAATATAATAAGGAGTACGTGTAGAAAAACGATTAACTCCTAAACAGCTTCACCAGCTGATATAGGATGCAATATTAGTAAATAGGACCTTAGTTTGTAACATCTGCCTCTACAACCTCATACAAACTCAAGTAAGTGACTCACTTAACTTAGTTAAATTCAAGTAAGTGACTAACTTAAATAAATGACTAACTCAAGCAAGTGACTAACCCACGTAAGTGACTAACTCAAGCACGTGACTAATCCAACAAGTGACTAACCCAAGTAATTGGCTAACTCAATTAAGTGACTAACTCAAGTAAATGAATAACTCAAGCAAGTGGCTAACTCAAATAAGCGACAAACTCAAGTAAGTGGCAAACTCAAGTAAGTGACTAACTCAAGCAAGTGACTAACTCAAGCAAGTGACTAAACCAAGCAAGTGACTAACCCAAGCAAATGACTTACCCAAGTAATTGGCTAACTCAATTAAGTGACTAACTCAAGTAAATGAATAACTCAATTAAGTGACTATTTCAATTGAGTGCAAATAGCAAAGTATAGACCTACCAATGTAAAATTGTATGCATTTAATTATGTTGAGCAGCTATGGTGGATGTGGCGCGGTGGGTTCGTTTTGCCGCATTGCCCAACATGCCGCATCGTGCCCAACTGCACAAAAAACAATTGTTAAACCTAACTAAATTTTTCTGATAAAATCCGGAATGGCCATTTGTTTCACATGAAACGGAATATTTTAATCAGTTTTATTTATAATTTGGACCTGTTAGGGAAATCGAAACTATAGTTTTATGGTAAAATCTGGAATAAAATAAATACAAGTACAAACGATCAGAACCGTAATACAAAATACATAAATCGAAACAAGACAAGTTTAATAAATAAAATATTGGTCATAACTGCAAGAGTTATGTCCCTCTACTGCGTGCCTATAACGTCTCCCACGTGTTAGAAAAAATAACAACTGAAATGTCTGAAAGTAAAAATCTTCTGAATAGTAAATCAGAATTATCAAGCGAAGAGAAGTCTTGAATTCTCGTATTAGTTGTGCCTTATAATTCGACAATGGCTCAACCCCCACTGGTTCCAGATAAACGGGGGCAGTTGGAGACACCAATAGACGAACATGCGAAAATGACAGTTCAGACATCGGATGGATCCACAGGAAAATAAGTATAGCGGTGAGGGTTATATTTTAAAAACTCACTATTGTCAACATAATAGCGAAAAGTATGCCTCTGTAAAAAGGCACAGTACGAAAGTCTTGAAACTATAGTTTCGATTTCCCGAATTTTATGTCCAAATTATAAATAAAAAGAAAATCGATGCGGGACAACAGATTGAAATATTTCGTTTCATGTGAAACAAATGGCCATTCCGGATTTTATCAGAAACCTTTAGTTTCGTTTTACAAGTCGTTTTTGTGCAGTTGTAAAGTTGGGCAATGCGGCAAAACGAACCCACCGGATGTGGCGCCAGCAGGGTATGCTTACTCGTCAAGACACCTGATACCATTTTTCATCATGAAATACTTACTCGCGTATGATTGATACACTTCCTCATGCAAAAAGTTGTTTTGGATTTCGGGTTTCATTTGCGGTTCAGATCGTAAGTAGGCCTAACTTGGTTTATTTTTGCGTATTCAAAAAAAGAATACTTTAA